TTCATTAGTGCTATGGGATGAAATAAATGCAAAAAATCTCATTCGCATCAAAGTTGTCATCCACTAAAAAGGTAGGCTGCCTTCATGCATGTATATTTAAAATTTTTGATACTTTAAATTTAAATTGGTGAAAATAATAATATTAAAAGTGTTTAAGCGTAAATGCTAATTTTTAATTATGTATTTATCATCTTCTAACCAGCGTTTAAATAATGCTTCCTAACTCATATATTTGGAAACTTGAGCCCTAAAATTTTGACAGTTTTATTCTGAAAAATGCACTTATAATAATGTAAAGACCCTCTTTCGATTCATTTATAATTATGCTAAACTTAGCGTGTACGTTTGAATGTTCATAATAAGTAGATTTCTAGCTGCATGTTTTTATTTTTATCACTAGAACCTTTTTGGTAGTCTATTTTTAGATAAATCCTAACTTTATGAGCTTGCTTATAATTGTTTACCACATTCCCGTGGTCTCCCTTATAAACTTCATTTAATTTATTGTGGCTATATTTCCATTAATGTGTATAATATTCTTGCATTTTAATTGATTACTTCATTGTTATTCAAAAAGCTTAGTCAAACCCCTCCAACTACAGCCTGACAGTAATGCCAAGAAAGCAAAATTCTTCACTTGGATGTGCTACTACTACAGCCAAACGCATGAATGCACAGAGAAGAAATGCTTCGCAACAAGAAACTCAAATTAGACTGACACAAAATGCTATTCGTACAGCTAATGCAAGGTCGGCAGAAACATTTGAGCAGCAGTTAACTAACTAGATGAGGAAGGAATGCTACCAGAACTTCTGCTACTCAAGCTGTCGAAACTGAGGGGCAAAGAACAATTCTATACAGTCTTTGTGAACGTTGGTTTTCAGCCTTGGCACAGCTGCTAGGAGAAGTCTTTGTTGAATTTCTTCTCCTTCCAATGCATGTTGTTCATTTGATGTAGTTTGAGCAAAAGCTGTCAAAAAAGCATTTCTCCTCAACAATTTTCAAAGATCAATTGTGATTAATGTACTCTTCATTTGCTGACAATTTTTTTTGTATCTTCCGTGCTTCTGTAAAAAACGACTTTCTCCTGTTATAAATGTTTTCATACTTCATGTCATTATAATTTTTCGGCATATAGATAAGAGGCACTAAAAAAAATCTTTATTTTAACTTTACAGATTGGATGAGGTTCGTGATCTTTTCTTGAATAAACCCTGGCAACGCCGGGTAATGATGCTAGAATATATATATATATATATATATATATATATATATATATATATAGAGAGAGAGAGAGAGAGAGAGAGAGATAGATACTTGAAAAACTTGATTGTCCCTTCAGTGTCAGTGACCGCATCATGAAACTGCGAATTCTTCTTTCGTGTAGACGTTATATGACCTTACTTTCCATCTAAGCCCTGACTCGTGCAGATCGATGGTAGACCGGTATTCCATTACTGATATTTCCAAGGAGGATAAATTGATTATACTTGGTTGTTCGTAAATTGGGATACCCACCCACTTTCATCAATATATTTAAGGAGCTCCGTCGTAGCATGAATGCACATGCTTCATTCATTGGTAAACTATCGGACAATGGTGTAAAGCAGTGCGACATTCCAGCACCCACTCTGTTTTCCATTTATTTAGCCGTCATGCTTTCGTATATTTTCGTTAATGTAGCATCGAAATTGACATTCTCTTTAGAACTACTGGTAGGTTATTTAATTTAAAAAAAATTTATTTTACGTGAAAGACCTTCCAGACATTTGTTCGCAAATTAGTATATGCTGATGATGCTGACTTTGTTGCACTTTCTGTCAGGGGCATGCAGATTTTGGAATACAGATTCTCAACGGCATCCACTGTCTTCGGGCTTACATTAACCCCATAAAAAGACGAAAGTCCTCCACGTGCATTTCTCCTGTCACCCACTCACACTAACACTTTCGCTTTGAAATGAAATTCTATAACCCTCCTTTCCAGGAGCTTTTAACTCTTTTTTCTGATTGTAATTAAACGTTTCTATTTGATCCTAATTCCTTGAAACTTCTTTGCTGCTCACATTTTACTTCCATTGTTTCTAAGAATCCCCCGATCAAAACATATATGCCTTGCTTCAAGTCACGTCTTCATATGTGAGATTGTCTAGGATTCATTGCCCTATACCAGATTAAGTTATTATATCGCAGCACAGCACTTTTCTATTCCTCTAACGTAATTTTCTCTACTTAGTCTTTGTAAGACATCCAGCTATTTCTCTGCATCTCCGGTTTTCTCTAACAGGAATACCAGATTTGTTGAATTTCTTTAACTGTTTGTTTTTGTTTCTAAAGTAGCCAGTAATAGCTCAAATTTTGGACACTTTTTTCTTGCATTACAGTTAAATAATGCCTTTTCTATTTCGTTTTACTTCTTTTTTTTATCTCAGAACACTTTTCTTTTACTTTGCATATTATCAACAGGCTAACCACCGTATATCTCATCTCGCTAAGATTATTTCCACTATGTCTTCTCTTTTTTATCTTCTGCGTAAATGCTTTCTTCTTCTTTCTACATTACCTATTCACTAAAGTCGTGAACTTCGTGAGAAATATTTCTCTTTCTTTACATTAGAAATGCTTTTCATCATTTTGTATCTAAAAGGCCAACATAATCACCTTTTATAATGTACCGACTTTCAATTCCTTTAAAGAATAGGCTTTACCGTTGTTGACGTGGTTTCAGCAATGACATTTCACTTGAGAAAAGTGGAGACAATTACATCCAAGCAAATTGTGAAGTATTTTCAAATAGATCAACATAACTTCATCACTTTAGTCTTTGTTAGATGTACTAAAGTTTATTAAATCATGAAAATCGATATTGGAAAATAATGTTTCACAAGTTTATATTAAATAGAATCTAATTTCGGTCGTTTCTTGAATAGCAAGAATGGTAATTCAATAATGATCCCCTTACAAATTTTTATTTTGCATATTCAATGTTCGCTATCCAGCTTACTGCACAAATCGGCGAAACCTTAAGTAAATATCATTTAGAATAATGTTATTGTAAATTTATATATTTAACTAACGCCATCCTAATGAAAAAAGAAATTACCTTGAAAACTTAATAACATTATTACCAATTATGAAAACACACCCAAAATAATTCATTACATCGCCATCTTTCTTGAATCCATTTTTAAAGAATCTAACTTATATCTATCTAATACAAAACTACATCCTTACAGACACCAGATATGAATTAGAATGAAGTGGCAAATCTGGATGTTTAGTCTTCAGTATGTAAGTTGTATATTTATTAATTCAAAGAGGGAGTTTATAGAATTTAGACAAAACTGTACACCTGTTCCATTATTAGTTCTTCCAGAAAGTATAGTTAGTTCTACACAAGCGTTCTATGAACTGAATCCGCAGGACCTCATACATCCAAATAGACATATGGCATCATATATATATATATATATATATATATATATATATATATATATATATATATATATATATATATAGGGTGATCACTGAATACAAGGTAGAAAGAGAAATCGATTCTAGCCTTTGTGGAATAGCGAAAATAACACAGAGTATATGAATAGGAAACGCTACAACTATAATTAAGGAAGCAGCAGATTGAATTTGCAATGAGAAAGGGAAATACATAAAGTAACGAAGAACAGATGAAAAAGTCAATATGAGCCCAAAACCTAAGAGGAATAAAACTGAAAATAGAGAATTAAACCTATCAACAAAATGACATAGATTGATAAAAGATGAATATATAAAGAGTAGAGACGATCAGAAGATGGGAAGTTGTAATGTTCTATCCGAAACACGCTTAGATGAATAACAACTTGTATTGAAAGACGGAAACGTGTAAGTCAAAAAATGTACGAAGATACTTTTAAATATAAACGTGGAAGAATATACAAATCAGTATTTGTCGAAAATGATATTAACACCAGCCGTGATTAATTATGTTCCAGATATGAAATCAAAATATCTGTTTGGATTAAGAACATGAAACAATAGGCGAATGAGGAATAAGGAATAGTAAAGGATATTATGAAGATATTGTAGAAGAATTTCGCAAAGGATTAGCACATTTATTCATGCAATTCATACAGATGAGGAATTCATTTTAATACTAGCATAATCAAACTATTGTAGTAATATATGAGATAATTATGTCCGCATGAAATATCGACTAATCACTTATTGAGGAACATATATGAATCCTTCTTAAAAGTATGTAAAAATAGACTTAAAATAATAAATGAAAATTAACTACGCGAACACACAGTTTTGTATAGGGATTACTTTTTAACAGACGATCTGCAAACGATAGAAGGAAAGATAAAAAAAAAAACACCTAAATAGAAGATAGTTCAAAATAAACGTAAAAGATAAATTCTAAAAATAGATAAAATGATCTGTAACACTTTATTATAAATATTATTTTTCATTACTGCATTATTTTACAAGGTCGCTTAATGGCATTATGCTTATTGCTAATGTGACTTAAAGTATTTTTTTTCTGTTGCTATAGCAGGATATGACAACAAGTCTATGAAATTCAAATAGACTATCGTCCAGGGATCAGAATCATTTTCAGTGGCAGGATAAACTTTCTGTACAGCAAATGAAGTTACATACAGATTAATAACCGTCAAATAAACATAATAAAATACTGAAAAGTATTTTACCAATTTATTTATGACTCATTCTTTTTATTTGATTTTACGTCTTCTGAATATTTTTGCAGCTTATTTAAAACCAGATTTTTTTAGAATGTGAGAATGTTTTGAAAATGATAACTCTACTGATACAGGTTCTACTAATTAACCCATAGCTGGGAGGAGATAAATTTACACCTTTACCATGGATATTTGCACCTAAATGAATATAAAGAACACAACTGAAATTGAAACTCGGTTTCCCGATTAACAATTCAGAGCCATCATCCATTACATAACCTGTACATCCAAGCTTAGAGCATGATATTCCCAAATGATCACCCATCTCGCTACTGACTCGGATCGACTTTACTTAACTTCGGTGATCGTATGAAAACCGGTGTTTCAACATGATATGGCCGTAAGCCTACAATTTATTTAAAATGCACAAAGAATACTAAATAGTAGCTATCGTGTATGAGCGTTAAACACTGAAATTATTATGTCTAGAAATTTAGAAATACACAGAGATCAATGGAACGAGAAATGCTTGAAATAATTCCTTTCTAAAATATGCGTTAATATGGTGAAAATCAATCAGAGAAAAATAATTGCCTGGAAAGAAAAACGAAAAGATTGACGTGCATAGTAAGAAGTAAGGTCAAGAGATAGAGTAAAGTTTTGTAGATTAATACACAATATTTAACAGGCTAATCTCGAGAAGCCAAGAGAGAAAATGAAGAGAAAAGATGTCTGCTGGGAAGATATGACAGGAAATATCATGATCTTCACCAAAAGATTTGTATAAAGGTCATACGCCAACAGTGGAATTGCAATGGCTTTTGCCATTAAGGAAACGCTATAATGAAGAATTTATACAGCAAACATTTTTTTCTATTCTTTAAACAAAAATATTGCGAGCTTCAAAATTAGGATGATGATTCTTCCTAATATGACATTATGAATAACGGTACAGTCACAGTCGTGAGGGAAGATATATGTAATTAAAAAAATATCCTGTGTTCTTAAAATGGCCTATGATGTCTGAAAGTTCACGAACTTCAGGATAATTTTAAACACTTGTGTTTAGAGACAATTTAATGTACGAGATTAGATAAACTTGAAAGTACGTGGGCGTTATTCTGGTTGATATTTATTTGGATTGAGCCAAATATTAAGTCTTAAAACTGCAATCGTAAAAATATATGTACAAAGTAAAATAATAGAATTGAAAACAATTGTGAAATATCTTTAGATTTAATGAAATAAAAGACGTAAAATGTGCGTTATTAATTAAGTATATAGCGATCACGTTTAATGAAATGTTTCCTTAATCACTGATCTGAGAATATCATTGCAGTGCTTGAATAGTTAATAAAATATATCGTCAACGTCATTTGGGCTGATGATATCCACTGTATTCTATTATGCTTCAGAGAAGGACGGAATGAAAGTAAAAGAATAATACAAGACTAAGATTACACAAAGGCCTTGGGAAAATATGGCATCTTATAAAAAACACAATATGAATGTATACCGAAAAAAACTAATCAAGAAAATACGAAATAACTATTATCGACAAATTAGATGGCATCGAGGATAGAGGATTTTTCTTACAAATCAAAAGGACAGAAAAAAGTAGGAGAAAATCAAAATTGTTCACAAAAGCTATCGAGTGCACAAATCAGCATCAATCAATAATATGCAAAGCGAGAAAGTATTTGATAAAAGAGTAATACCTACATGACAATAGAAAATAATATATGTTCAGAAGTTTGGTAATAATATTATGAAAGACATCCAAAAACCAATATAGATTAAAAGTAAATAATGAAATAATAAAAATGTAATACAAAACCAAATAGAAACATCGTCACGTAAAAATCATTTGGAATATCGCTGTTGATGTACATTTTTGATTCGCTAATTGCTTAATATATTCATTAGAAATCTTCGACAGGTTCACATAGGTATATTTAAAATCTTCTCATGAAGCGAAGGAATATCTTCAAGATTGAAGTAACGAAAAGAATGCTTATAACAAGATTTTTAATATTGAAGATATTCAGTAGCATAAGATTCGAGGCATTAAATGTGAAATTTTTTTTTGCAATTCCTGCTTGTTCTTCTAGCAGAAAATGTAGATTTGCCACTTCCAAAGGCATCTTTATGAAAGTAAAATTCCATTAAAATGCATAAATTTAAGTACTCGAGCCGAACATAAAACATAAATGATAATTTAATTGACGGAGGTAAACAGTTGTTGGAAAAAATGGTCCCTATATTAAGTGATAAATGAATGACATTCAAAATGATTTTTTAGTCTTTCATCTCTTTTCAGCTGTTTATCAGCTCTTTGCAGGTTAAAGTCACACAATATATTTAGATTATAAAAACTGTTTTTGGAGATAATAATGCTCTAGTGATACTAGTCTTACTAATTAATCCATTGCTGAATATTTATTCGAATATCGAAACAATTTATTTTTATTTCGATACCCCATACTGTTTCGGTTTGTGTAGTTTTTTTTTTTATTTTCTACAGTTTTTTGTTGCACTGTTAATAAATCCGTTGAACCTGCGTTTGCCATAACCCTAAAAAAATCACAGGGTCAAACGCTTCGAATTGTTGAAATTTGGCTCCAGAATGAAATATTTTCGCATGAGCAATCTCAAGAGTAAGAATTTATTTTTCGCTGTTAAAAAGAAAAATAAATTTTCTTAAAAAATATTGTTTAGCATGAAGTCCTATAAAATTAAATTAAAGAAATTAAATCGTGATGTAGGGTTTTCCTAAAGTATTTTTTTCAAACAAATCAGCTTATTTAAAGTCCATCGATTATTTTTTGAAACTGAACAAAACGTAGAGTTTGTAAAACTCGACAAGAAGTTTTCTGCGATGACTTCAACAATACAAAATATTGTGACAATTTCAACATGCATCATATTCTCTACTATAGAAATATATATCTACATTTGGAAGAAATTATATGTATTTATCTGTTCTCACAATCACACTGCCAGAGATTCATATTTTTTATGTCTAGTTCTTGTTTTTGATTGATTCGTTATACTAAGGCTTATCGATCGTTTTGCAGCCATAAAAAAATTTTAGATTGTAAGAATTTTGTTGGGGGAGAAGATAATGAATCAGTGATCTAAGTTTTACTAATCAATTCATAGCTGAGGGAAGAAGCGACGGATTCATACGTTTCAACAAGGATATTTGCACGAATATAACAAGCCCAGCTGGAATTGGAACTCGAGCCTCCGATTAAAACTACTTGCCATTATCCATTACACTACCTGCACATCAACGCTGGTATTCCCATATGGTCACTCATCAGGGTACTGACCAATCACGATATTTCAAAAAATTCGGCGATATGGACATTAACTTAATTGTTTCATCGGTCAGTCATTTCAGATGGTTGGATTTAATTCTTTGTGTAGGTCTTTTTTTTTTATCCAGCTTTGACGAATATTATCATATTCTCTGGTCGGAGATTGTTATTCCGTATTGCTAAGTCAAATACATTTTCTATTGTGCGCAATATTTCGTCGTGGCACCATAAGTACCTACCATACCTAGTGCTATTGGACAATTATTGAGAATGAGTGTTTATATTACACAGATGACAAGTTCATAATTTATATTATTCGGACTATTGTCCTCATCTATCACAACGTTTCGGCCGTTGTACTAGTTCCACGTGCCATGTTTGATGGATGTGAGTTATCTCCTGTTAATTTTCCCTCTGAAAGTTCTCCACTGCCTTAACTCACACTCTTTGGGTCCTGTCACTGTATCTAACCAATGCCTTTATCCACTGTGCCATGTGTCCTTGAGGACATCTGGGTATGAATTTCTGGGTATTATAAACCTAATGTCTTCACCAACCATTTTTTACCAGAGCTCATATTGCAACTATGTTGTTATCATTGCTTTTCTCCGGCACTCCTTATTACTGGTTCCCATATTGTATTTATTTCTATGCTTGGTCGGCTCAGGAGATAACTCGTGGCAGTATTGTATGTTGATAGATTTAACTTTTGAAGCGGCCTAGTAACAATGATTGCTTGGTTTTTGTTACTATAAAGATGAAAAATGGCATTTATATATGAAAAATATATCAACATCATCTTCTTTGTCAGTGAAATTATCCCAACACTCATTGACATTTTCTTCGAAGATTTTCATGGAAAGCTATTCTAAATATAGTTTTAATAAAATAATATTACTGAACCGTGAGGAAACTATACAATGCTAAAAGTGATGTAGAAATTTTCTACTGTAACAGTATTGAAGAAGAGTTCTAAGTATAAGCTTTCTTGGCATTGCTATTTTCCTTGTTGTCCATATAGTCTGTCTAGAGATTTTGCGACATTCTTTAGTAGAAAAATATCACTGCCGCTTCATATCTCTTCACAGTTGTTTGTCCGTTATTCATGTGTTAAGCTTGCAAAATAGAATAAAATAAACGACATAGTCAATAACTTACCTCCCATACTATTATCAAATAAAATCTTTACATAAATGAATTGAAGTAAATTTATATGAAAAATAATCTAAAGTAAAAACCAAGGAAATATTATGTCAGAAAAAATGCCAAAAATATAATAATTGACAATACAGAAACGAATGAAAAAAAGTAATTGTCAAATTTGAATTAAAGACCAACACGAGGCGCAGAAACATCTGCATGCTCACAATAGCTTAATAATCACGAACATTTCTCATTTACGGTAAGCAAAATAGGAAATACCTGAAAACTGAGATAGACACCAGTCATCTAGTGAAACACACCGACATGAACAATGTAGAATTGAATTTGCTTATGTAGGCTTGTACCAAAATAAGAGAAGAAACTCAAAATAAAAACAAAATGACCAAACCAAACAAAACATTGTAACCAAACAAATCCAATAAAAAAGCTTGTAAAATCAAATTAAAAATGCACAATGTGAAGCCCCATAAAAGTGTAAACCTTAAAAAAATAATTGAGCCATAAATGTTATACACAAGACTGCTAATAAAACAGTGAAACAGAAAAGAAGAAAGGAACCAATGTCTTCCCACCCCTAGAATTCCCACACCTAAAATTATACATACATACATAATATTGCATACATGCTGAATTACCTGCGTATTGCAGCATGTAACACATTTTTTGTAAGAAATTAATGATTGATTTTAAATCATTGTTATAATTTGTAGAGAAAAATTATTTTAATATTACTCAATGATCTTTCCGATGTGACCTTCATCTTCTTGCTTTCTCCTTCTATATTTTAGATAGGAGTCATTCCCTTATTCAAATTTAAATTTAATTTAAATGAAAGTGAAAACAGTCTTCGGTGGGGTGTGTGCAAAAACAGCTGACTCCTTTGATATGTATTTGATACAATACTTGATTGAATGAAT